TTCACCTATGTATATTCCCAGGATATTCCCGCAATGTTCTGTATATTTTTTGAACATTCTGGGATATTCATAGAATATCAAATGCTATCTGGGAACTTTAAATAATGTATTGTCCAATGTGCAAATATTCTGTGAATTTTGTGTATTGAATATGACATTGTCTAAATGGTCCCGATATTTCTTCTGGCATTCCTCAACTCACTCTGAAATTTATTATTTTTGATATAACGCGACTACCAGTGTCTATATAGTTGTTTTCTAAATATTTCCTTATTTTAACGGCGTCGCCTAAAAAAAATCACACTGAGTCTAATCCGGGCTTTGCGGCGGCCACTGTATGTTTTCTCTTTGAAATGTATTCTCTTCTAGAAAACAACTTTATCCGTTAAAGCGCACGAACGACGCACAAGGTGAGATTGCACGTAAGGTGACTTCGTCTTGTTGCAACCAGTTTTCTTGAGTGGATTCTTCAAGTTCTTGAAGAGCAGGATTAATCAAGAACATGCTTCTTGCTCATGCATCTTCGATGCTTTACGCTGTCCTTGGTAGTTCAGAAACGCTTTTCTTTAACGTAGAACCCGTTTTCTTAAGGTTTAGAGCGCACTTATTAATTAATCTACGGCGCGGAATAGTGGTGGGATAATATTCAATATACATGGTGATTCATTAATTAAGCAAAATTATCGTTTAAGACTGATCTCACTTTTCTGGAACAAAAATAATGGGTGGTTTTGAAGCTAACGCTTCATATTTGCCAATTTTTGGAACGTTTAAGACCATTTGCAGACTTCCATTTTCTTCTGTTAAGGAAATATGAACACCTTTCCCTTGCAGTTCGTAGAACGAATCAAGAAATTAAGAACTTTTTGGACCACCTAGTTTAATTATTTTACTGAATTTTTTTTTATGTAGTTTCCCAGAAGTAAATATGTGCACAGTGGGCAGGCTCAGCAATGTGGCTCATGCTGATACCCCGATAGGGTCGGCTCAAAAAAATAGGGAACTTGGTAACAGACCACGATCAGGTAAACCATGATTTTTAGAAATTAATTTATTGAACCGGGATTTATTGTTTGGCAACTCTTGAAATGAACTTATGAAACTTCTAGTTAGCGTGGTTAAAGGCCAACGGGTAAACGGTGCAAATAATAATAATAATACGGGAAGGGCTGAAAAATTTTAAAAATGTTTAGTCAAAAAATGTTCTTAACTTTTTACTACGATTACACAGCCCCACAAACCAATTTTTTTATCTGATGCTGAGACACATCTATCCTGTAGTATTTTCATCTGCTGAATCTAAATCCGCGGTCAGTTTGACTCTATCAGGCCAGAATGAAGGTGATTTAAAAGTTAAATTGAGAAAGAACCATTTAGGCAGAAAAATCTATAGATCTGTACGGTGTGTTCAAAAGAGCCGAAATGGACTGATCAGATTCAGTGCAGCTCTTTCGGTTATCGAGATATTTGAAGTTTTTTGAAAACCATATTTTCTCGAAAACTGTTAAAGCTGGAAAGTTGGATTTTATAAAGAATACCTTTTTCCGATAGGACGCTTCGTTTTCGAGACAAAAAATAAAATGTAAAATTTCGAAAAAATCACAAGGGTTTCTTTCTCCCACCAAAATTTTTAGCGAAAAAAAATTGTCTTTTTTAACCATTCCTTGACAGGTGGTTAGATATAGAAATGGGTGAGCTACAGAGGGAAGACGAAAAAGTTTGTACAGACTATGCTATATATACAGGGTTGCTCATTAGTGCGTCAAAGAGCGATATCTCAGTAAATATGAAGTTTACAAGAAAATTCGTCCAACGAAAGTTTTTCACGTTTAAA